GCTGTAGTCACGCAATAGAGAGGTGACTCATGTTTACAGAAAATGTTTCAAGAGCAGATGAAGTCAAACATACAGTTGATTTTGAAGCTTTATATATATCTGTGTGTGTTTGTGCATCAGCTCGGGGGTCTCTGTGCCTTCTCCAATGGGAAACAATTTATCCACCGTGGTACCAAGAAAAGCTCGCTCAACACACAAAACCAGCAGAGCAGGTGAGGTTCAGACACATTTTATGGACACTGAAAATGCAGTGAAACTGATTTCTACTAACAATATGGTACAAAGCATCGCCAAAAAGATACTTTAAAAAAATGAAGAACAAGTAAAAACACAAGTCATTCTCACTCTATCTTACACACGTTTTAAACCAGTGTAGCTATCGTCACCAAATCTAATATTAAAGAGGACATTTTATGCTCATTTTCTCTGGAGGGAACTTTGGGATTTCAGCCTTTGCAGACCATTAACAACAACCTTTATAACACACTACAGGAAAGAGAAAACTCCCAAAAGCATAATAGGGCCTCTTTAAAGTTAATTTAAGTCATGCTACTTGCCTAACATATACAGTTCATGAAATTACACATACTTTTCAAACAGAGAAACACAGAAATGGTATGTATTTTTAGCATACACACCTCTATGTTTCGATGAAAGTATTTAATGCCTCTGTACCATGCTGTATATGTGTGAGTTTCCCTTCTGTAATGGCTTATGATGTGGCTCTACTTTCACTGGAGAAGTAGAAACGTATGTAACTCTGACAGGAAACACTATACCGTTACAAAAGAGTGTCAGTCAGGCTTGGTGTTTATTCGGACATCAATCTCCATGGCATCGCCCTGATCTCAACCTTGAAAGCGCTCATCATGTCTCCTCTGTCTCCTTTATGAGTCGTGATGGATCCTGCCGGCACACTGATCTAATTCCAGGGTGCCTGTTTTCCCTCTCCATCACAGGAGCTTTTACAGCCTCCCTGTCAAAGACTGACGAGGACACTCGGCAGCCCTGTGGCCCAATAATGTGTCTGCCTAACATCACCCTAAAGTCGCCTCTCTTTAAGAACCCTATTTCAAGCTTCTACCTCAAACAACCCTGATAGACTTCACCCACCATCCCAGTCACTTCCTTCCACTTCCCTGTCTCTCGCTGACAGCAGATGGGTGCATAGGGCAGAGCGGCATTGTCAGCATTTTCTTTCCTGCAGTCTTACCCCTGCATTTGATGTGCAGTGGACTTAACTAAGAGATTTTGGACTGCATCAGTTTGTTAATCTTATTTCTTTAGGCTTTTTGCAACACATAGAGTTGTTTTGTCTCAATTGCTTAAAAGTGTGCAATCATATCATTGTAAAAAGCAAAGCAAGACATGGCGAAGATAATATTGAAATGCATCCTGTCTAAAATGACTAAAGCTTGGGTTTTATTTATTTACTTCTAAGGATGTGTCTGACTTGCATTGTGTGTGTTGTTTTGTTACCAGGTGCTGCATCCCCACATGAACACGATGAAAAGCAGGAAGAAGACCCCTGGCTCTCCAGCACCCACTCCTCCAGAATGACACCCACAGCAGGTTAGAGAGAGGGGACATATCCTTTTGGGTTTCTACTGTTAAAGCACAACTGATCTTGGGGTCAACCACAGCTGTGTCTGTATATAAACTTAAACCACCTCTTACTCCTTCTCATGCTCATGTTGTCAGGGTTTGTTAAAGTATAGTAAGTTAGAAAATGCTTGAATTGAACCATTATGTTTTAAGAATTTATTTTAGGAATATTATTAAATGTGAAAATACTCTTAAAGAAAAATGTCAACATGATCCTGTGTTTTATTAACACAATCACTCACTGTAACAGAACATCTTGAAATGAAACACATTTTAATTATTTAAGCTTTGTTTTCCCAATTTAATTTATATTACAATTTAGACGATAAGGGTTTTAAAACTCAGGAAATGTTAGGTTTGGGTAAATTGAAAGTGCTTGAAAAGTGATGCATTTTTCTTTTTCAAAGCAGAACAAACTCAGTGTTGTTCGTACCCAGTTGATTTAGCACACTGATACCTGTTTATCTCCCACAGATCTTCACTTCCCAGCTGAGTCTGCTGCAGTCGATTCAGACGATTCTGACGACATCATCGTTTCTCCGTCACGCCCTATGAGAAGCAGAGAAGTCTTAATGTTATAGACCCTCTGGGTTGTGTGTGAATGAGTGTGTGTGTGTGTGGGTTAGTGTGTAAGAGAGAGATTGTGTGTGTGTGTGCAGGGACAATTTCTGCTTGTTTCTACTCAGATCCTGTATGTCATACAGTACTTTCTGGTTTGGGTTCTTAATGAACCTGCAAATGATTGCTGCGATATTTCGATATTAGTAAGGGTAACATCAATCATCCACAATGTCTGTGTCAGATATCACTCACCACTCCCTATATAGTCCTCTATGTAGAGAGTTTGATATAATGTAGTGCTTTTCCATGTATACTAGGAATCGTTATCCTATATAGTGGAACCAGAGTATCTCACAATCAATAGTGAAAAGTAGTTTTTACATCCATGGGTACAGCTGATTAACCAAACACTATATACCATTATTTAATGCACTGAAGGAAATTGTAAATTGGGGAAGAAAAAAGAGGGCAATTGAGAAAAATCCACGAGTGATGGCAAGAAAATCAACCTCTTAAGCCCCACGGACCCGGTTCCGGGGCCGAAATCGCGTCATTTGCAGGAAACAACATCTAAGGAACCTTAATATTTAATAAACTATGAATATTTGATATCCATATAATGGGGAAAAACTAATTTAACTGATCTTTTTAATTTAAAATAAAACTGCAATTCCGTTTTCAAATAGTAGAGCAGGCCATTCCTACACTCTGTAGAAAGATTGAATGAGCGAAGACGCGACCTTTTTTTTTTAACATGAGTGTGTGCGGGACGATTTCCCTTCGATTCTATTGGCTCTAACGGTCAGAAAGAGATGTCACATGTCAAAATCGAAGAAGGGGGGCCAGAGATAAGGAAAATCCACCCAAATGGCCCCAGAAGAGGTTTCTTTTGCTAAATCTGTCTAAAAAGGTCAAATATCACTTGTTTTACATCAATCTTGATACAGGGTACTTATTATATGTTGTACTTTGGATTCCTAAAGCTTTTAGTCTACTAACCCATCATCCAAGGTTAGTTTTCACTATAAGTACAACATATATTTTGGACGGACACTATCATTTACAGTTTTTTACCATGTTCAATCTGAATTTTCTTTAAAATAAAAAACATCTATATTGATTCTGACTCTTCTACATCCAACTCACAGGTTTATCATTACTTTGAGAAAAAAGATGATTAATTTAACCCTTTTAGAAGGGAACATATGGTCATTTGTTCTGAGAATATCATTTTCGAGCCTGAAACCTGAAAAACAGGCTTGAGGCTTAAAAAAGAGGTTAAATATGATGAAATTATACCACAATGCAGACATCCTATAGACAAATAACTTTGGGTTTCTTACTCTTGGAAACATAAACTCCATATCATGTTTGTATCACAAAAACGCATTTCGGTAACAATTATGCATAGTCCACCAGTACACTTTTTTCTGGCTCAACAAGAATGTATTCAACAACACGGAAAATTACCGATCGTGTGCAATTTTTTTTTGCAGAAAGGCCTGAAGTCTAACCTTTCCCACATGGAAGTAGTAGAAGTTGTAGTATTTTTTTCATTTTGCCAATGAGCTCACTGTATAGACGTCCACATAAAGCTCCCTAGATAGTTAATAGGGAGGGAGGGAGTAGTGAATGATTTCTGACACAGACAATATTTTCTGAATGCAAAACGCTTTTATTCTCTACAGTAATAACCAGAGCATTCTGGGACATTGGGTTCAGGGTTATGACATGAAGTTAAGAGGCACATAAACACCTCACTTGGATCATGATTTATTTATGATGCTGTCAAAATACAATATGTTGATGCATCCCAGTGTTGACATGAGTCTATAGGATATTCTCTTTTAGTAGAAAGCACTCACATGAACATAAAATAGACTTTCCTTTCTTTTATAATCATTTCAGCCAAATATATTTTCAACAGTCTTCTGTTTTATCAATAGTTGCTTGTTTACCAAAGTGCCTACTGCATGGTTTTCAATTAAAATATCAGTAATACATGTGTTAATTTATCTTGGCCATAGTGAGCCACGTCACTCCTCTGGATCTCAGACTTAGAATAATGAATGGCTCTTATTTTGTCATGCCTGATTTGTAACACACAAACGACATTACACAAATCTATCATGTGCACTTAATAAATAATGGCGGATTCTGAGGTATGACTGAGGGATGATTCTCAACTGATGCACTATTGATCAAACTGTGAATAAATTATAGATCAGTCTGCTGCAATACTAAACACACAGTCAGTACAGTGGAGGACACACAGGGAGTATGTCTGATGCCAATCATGTTTTTGCTTTTAAATAGACAAAACCTATAAGGAGGTCAACAGAGAGAATGGATGGGTGCTGTTTCTTGTGTGTGTAGCTTCTGTTCTGAAAAATGTAATAAAATGCTGTTTTTATAGTGAAACCTGTGTCTGATGATGCTCTTGTCGTAAAGCAGAGGTAGAAAGTCTTGATGTAGTATTTGGATAATACTACTGCACCAAACAAACACAAAACATGTATTTTGATCACATTTTTTGAAAAGATTTGAGAAAAGTCCAAACAAATGCGTGTGACTGAAAAGTAACGAGACAACCATATAAAAAAGAATTAAGTGTTAATCATAAAACTACTCATTAGTTGGCAGAATAGCCCCTGTCACAGTGTTTTATTATATTTGGTGATTTTTTATCACTGATACATTAAAGTGCAAGCCGCATTTTAGGTTTTAGCTAGTAGAGGTACTAAAGTGGTACTTTATATACTGTTAGGTAGTTAAACCTTTTACAATGCATTACATTTTAAAATGTATAATATATTTTATGCAGATTTTAAATCTTTAAAGTATTTCGTAACTAACAATTGTCTGACAGACATAATGGGAGAGTAAAAAGAACAATATCTCCCACAGAAATGAAGTACAAGGATAAAGTAAAGTGAGGTAAAATGTTGTTATTTAGACACACAATAAATATTCACATATGAGTCGACAATACAAGCACCGAAACAAAATATAAAATGATAAGAATTAGCAACAATTCGACAAGACGCAAAAAATCAATATAACAAAAACAGAATTAAGTAAACAAATTGTACTTTGACATGTTATAGGCATTAAGTAGTTGAGTAAATGACCTGAGTTACTGTCCAACACTGGCAAAAGATCTGAATACTAATCACACCAGCTCTTCAAAGTAAAGCTGCTTACTGTTTTATGTACTACCATCATTTCAACGTTAGGGGGCGACCTCTTTGTGCATTTGCGCTCTCTCTCACACACACACGCACGCACGCACACAAACACACACACTTTTGCATGCAGAGCTTGAGAGCTGCCGCAAAGCCCCGTCCTTCAGGGCTGTTTAAACAGTGTTTGCTTCACGCTGCAACAATGCCATCCAATTGAGTCGCCGCAGCAGCGCTTTACTCACTGAACCGACCGTGGGAACAACACCGCACGAGGAGCACAAACCGTCATGTTTTAAGGGAGAAACACGACGGCTTGAACGAAATTAAAGAAGATAGTGTGTTATTTAACCCCTGTTATTAGTCTTCCGTGGTATTGTTGCTCTTCGGTGAAAAACAGCGGGGTATCTGGGTGAAATGAATGTGGACCGGGTAGTCGGTTGTGTTTAAATGCGGTTTCAGCCTCGGTTCGGCCGCGTTGATGCAGCAGCGCACGGCTGTGGGGGTTCAAATCCACCACCGGGAAGACAATAGGTGAAATACACGCCGGCCTGGACTCTCTCCCAAGACGACACTAAACGAGAGTCTGCATCCGCTTCGGCTTCACTAGGTAGGTTAACATATTTCATTTCCAACCCCCCCGACACACGGAGGCTTTGATGTCCGCAGACACGGAACCCTGAAGCGGATTCTTAACCGTTCTCTAACCCTTTGCCTTGGAGACTCCGCGAGACTGCGGTAGTTTTAACGGTCAAAGCAGCTAATCCGTTTATATTGTTTGTGTATTGACTTGAATTCATGAGAAACCATCGATTCAAGATTCAAAGGTTTTATTGTCACAGTGGCTACAGTGTAATTATGGCAATGAGAATCTTAAATCCCAGGCTCCTCCAACAATGCAACATTAATATACAGACATAAACAATAACAACAATACAAATAGGGCGAGAAATAATAGAATATAAATAAAATAGTGCAAGAGAATGTTGCAAGACTAATGGAGGATAAGTGAAATATGTATGAACAATAGATGAGTTGACCTACATGCTGACGTACAGTCAAGTCAGTAAAAGAAAGGAGTCTCGTGTGTGTATCTCTGTGTGTGTGTGTGTGTGTGAGTGATATATAACGGCCATTTCATCGCATATTTATCTCACGAAGCCAGGGTTTTGCCGTATGGGCGTAAATTGTGTGATGCGATGTTGCTGTCAGCCATGCTGCTGTTATGATCATTCATATACAGTATGACCTCATGCGTTTAATATTCGCTTACAACGGGCTCTTTAAAATTACATTTGAGGAGATCTATTATAATCACAGCGATAGCTTTAATGACTTTTCGTTGATTAGAATGGGATGAACTGCTCAATGACACTTATATTGTCGTCCCCAGTTATCATAATGCAGTCACATAGCATATTGCAATGCTGTAGCTGTATTGCAGTGATGCCTTTGTCCCTGAATGCCATTTAAAATAGCCACAGTGACAAAGGGAATCTTTTTTGGCTTTTTGAACTGCATTTCTATTGCAAATATCATTCTCAAATTAACACTTTATTGTTTTGTTTCTTATTATGGTGGAAATGACAGCGGAAGACAGTATTATTGCACACCGTTATCAACATTCAGCACCTCCAGTACATATTGGAGACAGGATGTGTTTTCTTTCAATATAAATTCTAATTAGGATGTGAAATTCGTAAGGCATCTTAATAAATCTGTGTTCCATTGTATTCTCAACAAATGGAAAAAGAGTGTGCAATATATTGCCAAGTAGATTGACATGTTGTTCCCACCCCAGTTAGTGACTAATCACACATAACTCATCATATTGACTTTGTAATTGTGTCAGTCATCAGTAATTCAACTCAAGTTGATAGAAGCAGGCTTTGACTATCGGTAGCTGACAGATTTAGGACTGTAGATACTGAACCATTTAAATAAAATGCTTGAAGAAATAACATCGATACTACTATTCTAGCTCTCCCTAACACGACAGGTGCTGTGAATTGTCCATCAAATAATGTCTGTGCCCCGTTAACCCACAACCGTCATGGTTTTCTCTACAGTGTCCGTGTGAGGAATCGCTTTAGAGAGAGAAGTGACGGTCCCTGGATCAGGATGGCGGCCGTGGTGAACTACTCTCCGCCCTGGTGGGTGAATCTGCTCCACCGGTTGCCTCACTTCAACATCGAATTCCAGGTGGTGAGCAGTGACTTCAGACCGGAGGACTCTGAGTACCAGAAGGTAAGACAAGTATGGGGGAATTATAACCTCCCAGTCAGAATTCATCATGCCCTTCACCATCACCTTATCGCTCCACCTTCTGCCACCTGCCTACACTGCAATTTCACAGCAGAGTGGCCAAGTGGTGACTGAGGCTGTCCTGCAACCACAGAGTTGTGGGTTCCCTCCCTGCATCGATCAATGCTGTGTGTGTGTGTGTGTGTGTGTGAAATGTCCTTGAATGAAAGCACTGATCCCCTACCTGCTCCATCTTTGTTATGGATAAAGCTTCTGCACAATTTATTACATTGCATAATCAATAGGCAGGGGTTCGAACCCTTTACGGTTTCAATATCAATCTGAGGAATTGCAAGATAAATAGCGAGATCGGGAGGACAAAGACTCAGATGTTTGCAATTACTCAAGTCTTCAGGACTCTGAAAACTATTAAAATGAGACTTTAGATCAGGGGTAGCCAACTCGGTGCCCGCGGGCACTTAGTCGCCCGCAGGGGCAACGTGAGTCGCCCGCGGGGCATGTTCTAAAAATAGCTCGCCAAGCAAATGAAAAATAATAATAATAAAAAATACACAAAACAAAAAAGGAAATGTAATTAAAAGAATCGACCCTATGCATAAACGAAACCTCAATCATAGCGAACTCTATCTACTTACTACAACTCTATATCTATCTAACACCCCTCCTCCCCCCACCCCCACAATGAATATCGACCAATCACGTTCTTGCTTGATTTGCGGGACCAGCGTTGCAGTCGGGAAGAAAAGCAATGTGACACCTCCCCGCTTCATAAGGAGTGTGACCGTGATTTTCCTTCTGGCAGAATCTACACAACACATCAGCCCCATTGAACAGCCTAGTCGTGCCAGCCGATACAACACATGAGGGGCAGAGTTTTACTCTGTGTGTTGCAAATTGCATATATGTTTATTGCACTTGACGCACACACACGCATGGCGTAATTTCCACCTGGGACAGGGGGGACATGTCCCCCGCTCTTTTCGAAATCCCATTTGTGTCCCCCCACTTTACAAATATGTTTATTATAATTTTTTATCGCAAGCCGTCATCGCCACGGAGGAGCACACAGCCTCTGTGAGCGAGCGAGACAGAGAGAGAGAGAGAGCTAGGGGAGGGAAGGAAGGAGGGAGAGAGAGAGAGAGAGAAGGAGAGAGCTAGGGAGAGCACTCCTTTATCTATTTAATATAGATAAAGTAAGAAATCATTCCAATGTGTACTAAAGTACAGTAAAAAAAAAAAACACAGTTTAAAAGGGGAGTGATTTGTAAAATATGCATAGATAAAAAGAAAGAATGCTAACTAGGTAACATAACATAAGAATAAACCAGTTTAAGTGATTTGTTATTGGTTGTGATCATATTCTAAAGATGTTTGGATTATTGAAAAGTTAAAATGTGCTAAATATATACACTGCAAAAAACAAACAAAGAGGAGTAAAAGTAGCCCAGATTAGTTTTATTTTTTGAAAGTAGCCCTCACCCTAAAAAAGGTTGGTGACCCCTGCTCTAGATGAACAGCTTGCAGCTCCTACACATCATCCTAGACAATCTGATGAGGGGTAGCGAGTAGGCATTGCTTGCATGGCTATCAATTTGTCACGAGGCGAAAAAGTGGAAAAATGTGTTCTGATGATGGACAGAAAATTGTCGTGATTGTGACAATTTGTAAAAGTTATTTAAACAGCCGAAATGCTGGTTCCAGTTTCTTAAATATGAGGATTTTTCTGCTTGTATTCTATTTTTAATTGAAGACGTATGGACCCTGAACTGTTGGCTGAACCAAACAAGACATTTAAGAAACCCATCTTGAGCTAATGCTAATTGAAATGCACAAGTAATCGATGAATTCGAAAAATAACCAAGAAGTAAAACCAATCATGAGAAGCATAATTGGAGTCTCTCTGTGCTGCGACTGAGTCTGCAGCGCTGCCTTATTAGAGAGCAGCTCCATCTCCAGGAGGGGCTTTGGCCCAGTTTTGCTGCATTTCATTTGAATCCTCAATCAAGGTGACTTCCAAGGTCTCTGCACCAGAAACACAAACCCTGCGAAGCCACAAAAAGCCGAGACACATCGCTTAGAATCCCACATTTCCCTCAATGCAGTTTGCTGACATGCATGGGGGGAGAAGAGGCAGGGTGTGCAAGTTCAAGAGCTGAGCGTGGGAAGGCCCCACAGCCATGAACATGGGAGTGAGATGCAGGAGGAGTGAGAGAGATAAAAAGAGACCGATTGGAGGCGAGAGGAAAGAGAGAAGAGCCGTGGGAGGTGCTTCTAAATTGCCAAATAGCCACTTCCTGCGAGCTATTCAGCATTTCACTAAGGGCCTTTGTGAGTGTGTGTGACCACTGGAATTTTAAGAACCCCCCTTTTAGACTAATTACATCCTGACATATTTTAGCCAATGAGGCTGTTTCTATGTCACTGAGCACCCCGCTCTATAATCATATGTTTGTTTCTATGTTATTTGTACGCACAGAAGCCGTGCATGTTATATATGTTGTATGTACATATGCCACATACAGTATGTTCACTTTCTGTGTCAGTGCGTATTTAGCACTTAGCATTGTTTGTTGAGGTGAGGTCACAGATCTCCCTCAGGGGTTTGTGTGTGTTATTGCGTTTGTGTTGGTTTGAATGCAGGGATTCTAGTCAGGGTGAAATCATTAATTCTGGCTAGACGAGAGGAGGGAGGGATAGAGGGTGAGAAGAACAAGAAGAAGAAGGAGGTTGAATTGGAGGGAGGGAGGGGGAGGGAAAGAGAGCGGGAGAGAGGGGGGCTGTAGTCTGTTGTGAAAGAATGCTCTCTTTCTGTCTTTCACTCTTTCACCGAAGCCCGTCTTTAGATTGGCTCACTATATCTGTCTCAAAGGCTTTCATGCATCCACTCATCCAGCTGACACACACACACACACACACACACACACACACACACACACACACACACACACACACCACACACACACACATACACACACACACACACACACACACACAAACAAGGTCCTACACAGTGTCCTTCAGTGCACTGAGTCCGTCACCACAACACACAATAGAGAGAGAGAGAGATTCTTCTGTAGTGTTTTTCTTTCTGATGTGTTTGGCTCAGGTTCATTTGTATTCAGCTCTCGAGCTCTGAAGCTGCTTAAAACTTTCTTCTCACACAATGTCACTCACTCACTCATGTTGTTATTCTAGAGGACCTTTCCCTTAAACACACTGGTTAGCATTCATTTATGAGAGCAGTTGTTCTCCGATGACATTGACTTAATTTGGGATGCTGACTCAATGTCTTCCTGCAAGACAACTGCCTTATTTCTTTCTCCCGAAGAGCTGTAATAGGAGGTGTGTGTGTGTGTGTGTGTGTGTGTGTGTGTGTGTGTGTGTGTGTGTGTGTGTGTGTGTGTGTGTGTGTGTGTGTGTGTGTGTGTGTGTGTGTGTGTGTGTGTGTGTGTGTGTGTGTGTGTGTGTGTGTGTGTGTGTGTGTGTGTGTGTGTGTGTGTGTGTGTGTGTGTGTGTGTGTACCAGTCACAGCGAAACAGCTGCAGAACATTACAGAGGACTCATGTGACCTGTAATAACACATTTCCCCAGCTGTCGAAAGCAAATCTGTAATTGGTATTCTGAATTTGCTATGGTTTGCACAGTGAAAGATATTATCATTTTGAAAAGGCTCAAAGTGGATCTGTATTTGTTTTTATTTATATAAGAAGGGACAATGCACATTAATTGGCATGAGCACTTGAGTCATGATGTGCCAGATTTAGTCACAGAGGCTAGTTTTCATCTGCAGTCCCTGGTAGGCTGAGGATGGCATTAAAAGCAAAAACTCATGAGCACAATTAAAACACGTTTAGACAATAAAAATAACTTTAAACCCAACCTATACCAAAGCACATACATACGCACTAGTGCTGGGGGGAAACGATTATTTTGAAAACGATTAATCGGGCGATTATTTGATCGATTAGTCGACTAATCGAACGATTATTTTTCTGTTGTTCAATTCATAAAAAACGTAATGTAAAAAAAAATTTTTTCACGATACTGTGTCTCAGGGGATCTTAATATTTAAGAACCTATTAATGTGTTATACCAGATTAACGGAAATAATCTCAGCTAACTGACGATACAAACCATGTTTACCAAAACAAAACACAAGTCTCATAAGAAGCATCTAAATGACCCCTGAGCGAAAAATGCTAACGGACATTGGCACATAACTCAAGATAAAAGTACCCTTATTACTTATCATTAGGGATGGGTATCGTTTGAAATGTATCGATTCCGATTCCGATTCCGGTTCTGCTTATCAATTCCGGTTCTTATCGATTCCCCGTTTCGATTCCAAAATTGTAAAAGAAAGAGGTCAAACGTTTAGATAACAAAAATATCTTTATTCTTTTCAGCTTTAACTGAAATTGTTACAAATAAAAAATATACATGCAATACAAATGTATTGCACAATAGCTGTGCTTTATTTTAACTGAGCGATGCCTGTGGCAACCTATTAACACTGTGCCCAATTGTCTTTTTATTTTTTAGTGTAGTGGAGCCTCACTTCAGAGCGTTTACCGCGACCCATCTTTGGTGTTATGAAGTGACTGAGCTCGTGAACTGTCTACGGGAGGGCGGGGGGAGCCTCGCTGCGGGGCAACTGTGGACCTCTGTCGCCTGTCAGCGCAACTTACATGATGCCGTTTAAAAAAATTAAGGGCGGTGCCGGCCATCAGCGTACCGAGCCGGCCGTCAACGGCCCGCTGACGAGCGGCCGTCAACGGCCCGCTGACGAGCGGCCGTCAACGGCCCGCTGACGAGCGGCCGTTCTGTGATTCTCCAGGTCCGCCCTGTATTCCACCGGGTTACCGCGGCGCCGCGGTACAGACGGACCCGCTGGAATACAGGGTCTACCGCGTTTAGGAACCGTTAAGCAGAACCGAAAAGGTGTATTTTGTACGGGTACCCGGTACCCGGCATTTTCTTAT